AACCATAAAGTACCATATTTGTGGTCTGAGGTTATGATAAAATAAACGTGTATTCCCCAAACCATATTTTACCATAACATGGTATTTTATGGACCAACGATTTCCTTTCCCAAGCCATAAAAACCCATATTATCTGGCTGAGAACTTATTCCTTCTGAAACCATAAAGTACCATATCTTTAATTATTACTGTAGCCATATAATGCCATAAGATAAATCCCTTACGTTCTGCACAATCTGAACGCATAAAATACCACATAATTGATTTTAGACTGGAAACACCCCAAGCCATACAAAACCATATTTTGGGGGGTAGCATAGTTACTTGATAAACCAATGACTTACTCTTTTAGGCAAGTTCACTTTTATCTCTGGTTTCATGATTTATTAACAAAATTCACAGCTGTCATGTTTATCGTAATTAGCATATTTTTGTAACCCTCCTTTAATCGTACATTTAATTTATGTGTCTGAATTTCATGAAATGAGAAGACAATATTCTATTCTAAATGGAAAACCAAGTTTAATGTCAATTTGATTACTTAAAAGGCAGTACTTGACAATTGAAATTGGTTGAAATTACACAAAAAGTCTTGGCTAGTTAGTGTGAAATGTATGCTGGGAAAATAGGTGTCCATTTTTCACATGGTATTTTATGGCGTCGGTAAGAAGAGGGTTAAAAAAGACCCCTTGGGCGTATGCCTGGACATGACCTCAATTTTTGCATTGTATCAAAATTGGGGGGTGGACATTTGCCCGGCTTGGACTTTTACCCGGATAACTAGGGTAGTACAATTTTATAGTTTTTAAAAAGTGGAAAATAACTTGACAGAAATTTATCTCAAACTAAATTCTGTACACAGCTACGAAAAGAACAAACCATTGCATGTATGTAATGTTATGTGGTAGACAGTTATGATATAAAAGACGACAGACAAACAATGAATGACAACATGTAATCAATAAATAGCTCCTCAAAATCATCTCCAATGGTGATAAATGAATAATTTATATATATATATATATATATATATATATATATATATATATATATATATTGAAATAAATTATATTTCCTGTTATTTGTAAATGTTATTTTGATATAAATGATCTAGCCTATAAGATCACACAGAAACTAAAGCCAGTTCGTCATAGCAAATTCATGACTACAGTGAACTACAATAAGACAAAATAAAATAAATTTGATGTTTCGAGGTAGGCAGCATTTTTATTGTATTGTATTTTTTAGTTAATTTGTTTGTAGTTTAACTACAGATGTGAAAAATGACATCCAAGTTTTCATCATAAATTTTCTTCATAGATGCAAGGGAATGAAATTAAAAAATTGGTGGAATGGTCACAAGCTAATACATTTTGTACTTTAGTTTATGTAAAATACTTTATTTTCGCTATTTTTGCTGAAGGGATGATTCAGTGAAAATAAAATCCATTAAGTATGTAATTTTTCCTATATTTTACATTCAACTCGCCAAAGATCAGTGAAAATAAATTCCATACAAAACACCTAAAGTGTCTTTTCAGTGAAATTTAATTCCTGCTGAAATAAAATATTTTACAGTAATCTGCTTTGAATTAAAATTTGTTTAGCTCATTTGCATAAATTAAACTTTTCAATTTCCCCTCAAGATATGGCTAGATAGGATTCCTAGAAACACAGGATTTATTTATTTAGCCTGATAGACATGTAATAGACCATTTTATGATCACTGCAAGATCCCATGTTATGCATGAAATCAAACATAAAAACAGGAAAAACAAAACTTTGGCGTGGATTTGACAATCACAAATTTTAAAGATATTTTCATTTCTAATAATGGGCTATACACAATTGACGATGGTCAGCTATGCTTAAATGATATTTCGACCAATTCAAGTTCAAAATCAAATTATTAAGCATTTGATTTGCATTATTCAGCATTTGATTTACATTATTCAGCATTTTATTTGCATTATTCAGTATTTGATTCGCACCATTCATGCATTATATATACAGTGAATGTAAAATCACCTATAATTGTCACAGTACACATAGAATGAAGCAATACAAATGTATTGTTCTTTCTAAATAATAGGATTTGGATTTTGTTCTGTGTTCAGTATAGCAACGGAATTAAAAATGCGGCTGAATAACGCACTAATCTTATCCTCATCAAGGTCATGTTGACCTTCCCACTTTGACCGTAGAAAATCTTCTACTATCTGTTCTTGTCGTAGTGTAGTGTAATCATCACTTAAAGAATCAGGAATACTAACCGTGAAAATAATAACAACATCCTTGTATGGAGCGTTCTCATTATCACAGTATTTGTAGAAAATGAGAGTACTAGTTGGAGGCAACTCTTCTAATTGATAGATAATTGCTGACTTACTTCCATCATTAATCCTTTTGACAACAAGGAATCCAGGTGATATTTTATGAGATCTGGATCTTCTTGTCTATACTCGGTACTGTTTATAAAAACAGGTTTCTTGGCTGCAGGATAGATCTGACTAAGTTTAGTAGCGATCCGGTTGCCTTGGTTGTTTTTACCAGGGGGGTTGACAATAACAATGACAGCTGGTTGTCTAGATAAAGGGTTATATATAACTGACTGGATAGGTATTCCTGTGACAGACCAAAATCGATTGCTCAGACCAGGAAATTGTTTCTGTAACAGATGAAAGTTGTTGAGAAACTGATTCTGTAGATGGTGTAACTCTTCATTCGTTTTTATGTTGTCTGAAGTTCCACCACTGACATAATTTATCAAAATGCTGATAAACAAAGCAACCACTATGACACATGTACCACAGATAACACCAAAGGCACTGGAATGTTTGGTGGATTTTAATGCTGCATGTCTTGGAGTAATAAAATTTGCAGTATCTTGTTTTCTTTTCTTCTTTTTCACAGGACTTTTTATTGGACTCTTGTCTGAATTGCTTGATTCATTTCTAGAAGTTTCATTCTTTTGCTTTTGTGGGCTGATAGATTCCACGTCAATCTCTTCACAAGATATCTCTGATTCTGATTGCGAATATTTCCTTGATTCAGGTTTGACCAAAGTTTCTTCTTTCGATGTTATCCGCTCTTTGACTCTACTCATTTTCTATCACTTATTGTACACTACAATAGATAAAAAATTATGTCAAGTTTACTAAAAGCTATATAAGTAAAATATTGGAGATTATTAAAGACCATATGGAGTATATTTATATCATAATCCATTTCACCTCAACATGCAATATTTAAATGTACATGTACAAATAAACATCTCACATTGTGTGTATGTGCCAGAGATACATGTAATAATAATAATAATAATAATAATAACTTTATTTAATTAAGCGCAACAATTCCAACATATGAAGATCAAAGGCGCTGATACAATAAACAATCAGTCAAATATTAAAAGCACATTTAAATAAGTGCGTTTTCAGTCTGGATTTAAAAATGTCTACTGAAGGACTAGAACGAACAGACAGAGGTAATTCATTAAAAAGTTTAGGACCTAAATTTTCAAAAGCACGGTCTTTGTATAACACCTTGGACTTTTTACTACACACCTGACGAGTTTTAATAAGAAACTTTGATTCAGATCTTAAACTACGACTAGGTACATAAAATTCGATTAATTCACATAGATAATTTGGGGCAAAACCATACAAAGATTTATACACTAGTAAAAGTAATTTGAAATTGATTCTTTGTACAACTGGTAACCAATGAAGT